GGGACATCGGGCTGTAGCAGATCAGAGATGTAGGCTGGTGCCAGTCCGTGCACAGCTCTGTAGGTCAAGACCAGGATCTTAAAATCAGCTCTAAATTCAACAGGAAGCAGCGTTTTGCAACAAGTCTGAAGGTGTATCTTACTGCGGGCCTCTGAGTGCACAGTCTCCCTCAGTTACTCAGTCAGAAGTGCTCAGCTCGAGGCTCAGCGAGCAGTAATGGCCACGTCGTTCTTTTCTATACAGTCTGGTCTGGTTGGACATGAACATGAAGTCTGTAGGAAAACATCGGTCAGCTCCTGGGGTGACAATCAAACTGAAACTATAAAACCGAGGAGGACAGAGGACTGCTTGTGGTCACATGTAAACACTGACGGTCTCTTTCTTCCTCACAGTGGCTTCAGCTGACGATGTATTCGTGAGGCGATGGAGGGAAGCCTCTCCACAGCTTCTCACTTCTCACACCTTCTCCTTCCTCTCACTCAACCCGCGATGCGCAGTTATCGTCTTCATCTCTGTAACGGGACCAAAACGCCGGCACTGAGCAGACACGAAGCGAAAGCTCGTGCTGCCGTTGCACTCTCCGGCGCTGCGGCATCTCTGTGTTAAAGATTTCTGTTCTTTTGTCTCTAAATGAATTTTATTAGGCTGGAAGTTTGATGACTCTGAATGTTTGAAAGAATAAACTGACACAGCTGATGCTACAGTTGTCCTTTTCTCTGAGTTTTCATGCACGCTTGTTCATGCACGTGACCACATGTGATGTTACACTCATTCTTCTGATTGGGAATATTTTTTACTGCATTAAATCTCAAAGCTTAACTTCAGCCTGCCGAGGTTCTTCTGCAGCCCCGAACCTTTAGTAGCAGCTCTGCTCGTCTCGCAAGTGAAAGATGAAATATTGCTTTTACGTTTTCATTCATTCATTTTGACTTTTAAAGACACTTTACAACACCTTACTTGTTGAGCTTGATTCTTTCATCTGAATGTGAGACATGAGACGGGCTCAGAACCATGACTGTTTTATTCTTTCACTTAAACTGTGAACATTTTTTGGAAATTTTAAGCGAAGTTACAAAACCTGAGTTGAAATGTCCTTCAGAAAATGTGTTGACGAATCCTAAAAGATTTTATTGTACAGAAACCAAAAGGATGATCGGCTTATGGATCCTAATGGTGTAACTTATCCTGCAAGTTTAACCTGTGAGATGCAAAACATTCAAAAGGTTTGACATTTTCTCTTCAGCTTATTTGCTACCCGGTGCAGTACCGTCAGAGGCCACCAGGGGGCCTCAGCCGCACACTTAGGATATTCAGTGCATACTCGTCACACCAGGCATGAAAGGTTGTTAAAGAGAGGCTGAGAGCGCCTCTGGCAGATGTCTGACATAAAAAGCTTAATGAAAACTGTTTTTACAGTCTTCAACTTCAGTTTGAATTTGGTTAAAAGTGGAGGGTCGTCTCTGTCCTCGACACCTGAGGTCCGCACACCTCATTAGGAAACGATCAATTTGATGTTCAGAGAAGCACCATGTGACAAACACCACGTGATTGACATTTAGACAAGTATAAAGACTTTTTCGGTCACGTTTAAAAAACGA